TTAGCAACCTTCTAATCTCACTGATTATAGGAAAAAGATGATAATTATAACTTTAGAGGTTAATTACTAAGGAAAGAGCCTTCTTGGAATCACATTCTATCCATATTTGGATATGACAAACTGAAGACCCTGGTAAACTCCCCAAAACTCTACAGCTAGGGGGAGCACAAGTCCAAAGCTCTGTGAAAACCAGCAATCAACTTACCATGACTATCCCTAATGAGATCTCCACAACTAGCCATCCTAGCAGCTTGAAAAATAGCTCTATCAACATTGAGTTTTAGTTGCAAGCTCATAGGAGGATGCCATCTAGTAAGTTGTTTAGACCACAGCCAACAAAATTCCATTGTATTATTATTCTTGATTTGCTTTCAAATCTCCAAAACACATATCTTCCTACATATGCAAGATCATCTTCTTCGTGGGGTTCCTTTTGCATATCTTGACCTTTTTGGTGCTACAATTCATCAAATCTACATCTTCTATGAATCTTTATGATTTAATTTAACTAATTATAAAAGTAATGCACCAAATTACATAATAAAGATTCAAAAACTTAACATTTTGTTCCTTAATTTAATCAATTATAACATTTTTATTGATTACCTTATTCTAAAATTATATTTTAGAAACTTCTAAATTCAAATTAACTAATCCCATTATATACTTAATAGATTATATAAGTAAAATAATTAATTATACAATTTTGTAATAAATTAAAGCTTAGTTTAAGTAAACTTCTAAAGAAGTCATTATAAAATACAAGACTTGGTATAAAAAATGAATAAAATTTCTTATATAAATTAGAAACAACTTATACTTCTATATTTTTTTTTTAAAAAAAAAAACTCTCTAATTTAACTTCTTCTACAATTTGAGAAGATAAGTTATTTTTAATTTAAAAGATAAATTTTATTCATTTTACACTGATCTTTTTGTTTAATAAGAACATTCCAAAAGTTTATCTAAACTAAGTTTAAATCATTTAGTTAAAGTAAGAACTTAAAAATTCTAACTAACTATCTGGTTCTATTTTATTTTATCTTATTTAACATGGTTAGGTCGCATACCTATTATAACACATGAGCTTAAGAGGAGAATATGTGAAAGATATATGAGAAACATATTAAAAATGTATCAATGAAATAGTTTTTTAGTAGATCTCTACTAAGTTATCTTGTGAGAGTTTTAAATTATAATATTTTATATAAAATATGATTTATTTTTTAATTTTTTTTTGTAGTTTCAAAAAAGTAGGGCATCATTGTGAGTTGTTTGAAAGTAGATAGTATATTCTTTATTGTTAATGAAAGACTTAATAAAGTATTTTAAAATTATAAGGTTCAAGAAAGTTGATAAGATATTGGTTATCCTTGAATATTATAAAGTAAGATTTACAACTATAAATTATAAATTTACAACTTTGAGGTAGTTGCACCAAACATAATTAATAACTGTTGAAATAAAATGTAACATTTTGTTAAAATTTTACAAGTTTAATCATATAAATACATTTTTTCTTTCTCATATTTGTTATAAAAAAAATGTCTACATTGTATCCTACAAGACAAGCCCTTGAGTGCAGAAAATTTTAAGCCTATAATTACTTAATATAAGAAAGTAACTATAAAATAAAATAGAAAGAGTCTTAACTTCAAGACTCGTTAGTAATTCTCTAATAACATTAATTTCTTCCTCAACTTTACCATACATACATTTTTTTTTCTAAATATTTTTCATTTAACTTCAAGCACAAAAAAAAAGAAAAAACAAACATCATCCCCAACAAGTTAATGACACCTAAAACTATAAGTGTGACATTTTAAATGTGTAGAAAGTTAAAAAACCTATCATTCCCTAGCTTTTTTTTAGAACATATGGTATACCACAACATATTGTTTTTCACCGTGCTAGAAAAATCTCCACTAGCATAGGAAAAATGGTGGCACTTGGACCAAAATTGATAAATACATGACAACAAATCCAATTACATAATGTTGAAATTGATTTCCTCTATCTCTGCCATAGGTATGCCATAAGCATGAGAGGGACTTAAAGCAAGATTTTCTTGTATAAGAGGAATGTTTCAATCAAATTCAATGAATAAAAATCAAATCTTAAAGTGATTGACATAACAAAAGAATCATGCTCCTTAAGCAAGTCATCAAGATTTGTTTTGATGTGATCTTCAATAGATATTGAAGCACTAATTGGAGATAGAAACTAACAACTTTCTTAATTTTTATCACGTAATCATTTATCCCTTACTGTGATTGGACACTTTTTATTAAGTTTTAGGAGGTTAAACCCTTCGATAATTAAGAGTTAAACGCATGATACATATTGACCGATGGGATATGTCCTATAGATACCTACTTAGTCGTATGATGAAGTTGTGTAAGTCTTTAGTCAAATTGGAGTGGCCCTGACTAAGGTGAAAATAATGCTTGTGGTGCATAGTCTAAGGTAAAGCCACTCACTAAATGGACACAACCATATTTGACATCAAATTAGTAACCCTCTAGCTCTGTGCTATTGATGTTCAATAATAATGAAGTGATTAGTGTGATTATTTGTATAATTAATGTTAAGTCATTAGACAATGGTTAAGGGTGGGATCTCTAACTACATAGTGGTGTGTATAAAACTAGATCACCTCATTTTCTTTCTTTGCGATTTGCAATTGCAACTTTAATTTATTGACAAGGCAAAATGAACTTGTAATTTATTCAAAATTTAGTGTGAAAACTCTAATCCAACAATTTTTGTCAATGGCATGTTGTGACATGAATGCAAAAGTCATGTAACTAGGAATTGATCTTGATTCTCTCATAATTTAGGTAATCCTCATTAATATCGTCATTTTCTTTATGTTTAGTTGAGATGAATTTAGAGAAAATTTAATAGCTCAAAGTGTATTTTGTGAACTTTAACTCTTGAATTACGACCTTCCCTTACTATTGGCAAATCAAATAGTTGCCATTATCAAGCTTTATCAAAATTGGTACATTGAAAGTTTGTGCTAAGAACTGTCCAAAAATTTAATATAAAAAGTCTAAAAATTTTGTATTTCATATTTAATTAAGTAAAACAAATTTAATTGGTTTACATAGATATACAAAAATAATTAACTGAAGAAAAAATATAACAAAAAATAAATAATTAAATATTCCTAGCCCACGATGTTAACCATTTTTTCTATACACAATTTTAGCATGTTCCTCCTAGTTTTAATACAAGTTATTAAAATTGATTAAAAAACTAATTTTGATTACATAAAACATATTAAAATAAGTAAAAAAGTTATAACAAAGTCAAAAACTAAACAACTTTCATAAATCTATATTATTTTTTATCGACCCCGAATCTTTATAAGCTCCTTATGAACTTCTTTGTTTCTTTTTTTTTTTTTTCTGGCTTACAAACTTCTTCAAAGCACCTTCTTTTCATGGTGGCCCGACATTCCAACTCAATTGATAGTTAGAGCCGAAATATCTATTCGACAGAAGGTTTAAACTCCAAACAGTATTGAAAGAGGTTGGGCTTACCAGGCCCAAACCAAATGCCTACTTATAAGTCAGAGCATGTCATCTATTATGCATTTATTTGTCAAAATCAATGAATATTATAGTTGAAAGTTTAAAAAAGTAATTTAAGTTAAACAAAAATTGACAAATCAATTTTAAATTAGATGTTTGATAAAATAGCTATTAATATTTTTAGTAAATGTAAAATACATTTAAAAATATAATTAATTACTGGATCATAACTTAAATTTTGGAAACTATATATTTTTAAATGATATAAATTTTCATATTTTAATATATTTAAATAATTTATCGTCTTAAAAAATAAGATACTAGTTTCTTAACATTCTTCTTATTTATAATTATTTTATTAAATAAAATAATATAATATACATGAGTTTGTATTATTATTTTAAAAATTCTAAAAGTAAATTAATAGAGAAAATATTATAAAAATATAAATAAAAAATTGAAAAATAAAATGTCACTTTAAATGACATTTCAAAAAATATTGCAAACTACTAAAAGAATCCACTTTATTTAAACAAACATTTTAATTAATAAAATAAACCTACCAAACATACTTGCATAGTTTATAACATTTTGTCTCCTCTTGTCAAAAATTTCTTCCAAGCATGGTCCCCCACATTCATTAGACAGTTGGAAGTGATCATAGAGACCTAATCGTCTTATCAAAACGTGACTCCCCCACGCAACCCTCTTTGTTTTATATGCATGTAACTCCATTTCCACCATGTTCCATACATTTATTGCACATTTCCTAACTTCAAAATACCAAAATAAAAAACTTTAAATTTCATCTCGTTAAGACGCTAACATGTGTTAGGCCTTTTATATTATTGAATTAACCTTTCCTATACACATTATATAAATAAAATTTTAAATTTAATTAAAGAATAATACTAAGGATAGAATCTTCTCAAGTAAGTATAAATTTTTTTATTTTTAATATAAATCTTTTATTTAATTTATATCTAATAGTTACATAGATTTATGATACTAGTATATATAATAATATAATACTGTATTTAAGTTTTATAAAAAAAAATAAAAAAATCTCTGCTTCCTTGCCGACGTTAATAGAAAAGGAGCAACGAACACAACAAAACCGTGTTTAGGCTCTCTTTCCCAATTTTCCATGCATTGTAACGTAGTTTTTTCGAGTATAATGTTTAATGAATGTACGTTACAGCGTAAATCCAAACACGCTATCCAACAGTCAATTCAGATCTCAACTGGTACGCATGGAACGAAGATCAAACTTAACCACACATATGAACACAATCTTCCTTTCAATAAGCCTCGTTTGTCTTAAATTCGGATAACTGGAAACCCAAAAATATGTGGACACCATTTCTCTTTAACCTAAATATTTTATCTTGTTTTATATGCATGTTTTCACTGTGATTGTTGTATCACTAATTAAACAACCAAACACTGAGTTAGGTAACTGACAACTCCAACCAACCTTGCATTTAATGAGACCACCACTCCTGCACTAAAAGACTTGAAAACTTCACATCCCTGAGAAAATTAAAATCACAATTAAAATAAAAGAAAATCAATAGAATTGTGCTGGTAGAGCAAGATTGGTAGTTCAATTGAGATGGATATTGGTGGGGAAGTTAGAGAGACCGGGAGAGAGTTGAGGAAATACTTCAACACTGGAAGAACAAGAAGTGTAACGTGGAGGAAAACCCAGCTCACAGCTCTCTTAGACCTTATTCATGACAATGAAGATGCTATTTTTAAGGCTCTTCACCATGATCTTGGGAAGCACCCTGCTGAGGCTTACCGCGATGAGGTTATCATTAAACACCATCAAAATTTTTGCAATTTTAATTATTTCAAATGTAGTTTAAATTACAATCAGATTTATTATATTCTATTCTTGCTTGTTGATTGCTTCTTTTCTGCAGATTGGAGGGGTAGAAAAATCAGCCACCAACACTTTGAGCTGCGTTGAAAAATGGATGGCCCCTAAAAAGGTTGACTAATTTTTTTTTCTTTTTAATTTCTCACTAACATTGTGACTATTTCTCATTTTTCTTTTGCACGTAATTTGACAAATGGATGTAATCTGAGCATCGGTCTCAGAATCAATAGCTCAAAATTTGCATAATTTATCAGAACTGCAGTAGAGGTGTTGGAATTTTTTATATAAACTTGATTGGAAAGTATATAAGGACAGAACTATACATGTTTTATATTGATCGAAGTTTTTTAATATGTGACAACTTTTAATGTTGACCTTTATTACATAGATCGCTAAGACGAAACTTTAATCTTAAATGAATATCTTAAATGAATAACATCGAAAGTACCTATGCATTGCATTGCGCTTAAGTTTTGTCCTAAATTATAATGTCACAAAGAAGTGTAAGTTTATATATATATATGTGTGTGTGTGTGTGTGTGTTTTGTTCTTGTTCTAGTCATGGTTTTCAGCTGCTTCTTCCCCACTTTTATGGTTTGGACTTGTGTCAGTTGGTAACTTCTTTTCGTGTTTGGATATTATTGCAGAGTCATATTCCCCTGCTTTTCTTCCCAGCAAAAGGAGAAGTGATGTCAGAGCCGCTTGGTGTGGTTCTCATATTTTCTTCTTGGAATTTCCCAATCAGTGAGTCTTAAAATTCCTATCAACCCATCTTGTTTATATATCTGTTAGGTTTCAGGACTATTCATGAATCGGTTTCCATGTTCGTCCTTTAAAGTAGATACGTTTGCTAGAGGCATGTTCATGCACATCTCTTCATTTTTATTACAAAATATTGACAAATAATATTTTAGTATTTAAGGGAATATTGCAAAAGTGTGAAATCCATTCTACATTTATGGAATTATCAATGATCAAAGATTAAGGTATTATCTGCCTCAAAAATTCTGTGTAGCACCATATAAGCTCAGGAATGCCTCAATTTTTGTCATATTTTGGTGTTTTAAAAATTAATGCAAAAATGTAAATACATTTACTGTATGCAGTGTTAGCATTGGATCCATTAATTGGGGCAATATCTGCTGGAAATGCTGTAGTCATAAAACCTTCAGAGCAAGCTCCAGCGTGCTCTTCTTTTCTTGCTAATACCATTCCTCAATACTTGGACTTTCATGCCATCAAGGTGATTGAGGGCGGAGCAGATGTTTGCGAACAACTACTGCAAGCGAAATGGGACAAAATATTCTTCACTGGTATTATTTTCCATGCTAGGAAACATTTCTATAAATTGTGGTATATACATTATGTTTACTACGTATATCGAACTTACTGTGTGTCCGAGTGAACATTTATAAACTTGACTTTATACGAACTTTGATTTGGGAAATTTAATTGTGGTTAATAGTAAGCTGTAATTAAAGTGATTTATATTTAGAAATTCTTATCTCCAAAGTAAGTTTGTAGTAAACTTAGTCTAAAATTTTCCATCCAACACAACACCGACATAAGTTGGTGGTGTTTCATAGTGTCAGGACATGCGTTTGAGGCATCCAAACCATATCCAACATGTTATTGATTCAATTGACTGAACACTCATTTCCTGTTGCTTTGTGCTTTGCTTATAATCTCATTTAAGAATAAATATTATTATATAAAGACAAATATTAGCTGCTTTCTGGTTCTAGAATAATTTCTCCATGATGTTTGAAACTTTCAGGAAGTCCACGTGTGGCAAGCTTAGTCATGTCTGCTGCTGCTAAGAATTTAACTCCTGTTACTCTAGAACTTGGTGGAAAATGCCCTGCCATACTTGATTCCCTTCCCAATCCTTCAGACTTTAAGGTAGTTCACAAGTGATTAATTATGCTTGCCTCATTCAATTTTGAGGACTAATTCAGTTTATTCTCTGTACATTTGTGGCATCAAGTTCGCAGCCAAAAGAATTGTAGGAGGAAAGTGGGGACCTTGCAGTGGACAGGCTTGTATAGGAATAGACTATTTGCTTGTTGAGGAAAAGTTCTCATCGGCTCTGGTATTCATTACACATCACAAGCTGCTATTTATTATAAAAAATTATTTTCTAATTGTAAGTTGTTGGTTTTCTTCTAGATAGAACTATTAAAGAAGATAATCAGAAGATTTTATGGTGAAAACCCAATAGAGTCAAAGGTAATTTCAAGAATAATAAACAAGCAACACTTTGAGAGATTATGCAATCTTCTCAAAGATCCTCTTGTCGTGGCTTCCATTGTTCATGGTGGTTCAATCGATGAAGAAAACCTGTAATAGTTGTTTCTTTCTATATCTTCTACTCTAATAACTTTTTTAGAATGTAATTTCTGCTTGCAAGGAAATAGAAGTGGTTAGTTAGTGAAATTTGTTTTACTCATCAGTTTCTTACAACTTTTCAGCTTCATTGAGCCTACAATCTTGTTAGATCCTCCACTAGACTCTAAGATAATGACGGAAGAAATCTTTGGCCCACTGCTTCCAATAATCACAGTGAGAATCAAAAATCTCCTTTTATGTTTTCAATTCTTCCATATATTGTGTCATTGTCTCAATCAACTCTTAAACTTGGCCTCTACAGATAAATAAAATTAAGGATAGTGTTGAATTTATCAATTCAAGGCCAAAACCTCTTGCCATTTATGCCTTCACCAAAGATGAAACTTTCAAGAGCAAGATTCTATCAGAAACATCCTCAGGAAGTGTCATATTTAACGACACATTGGTTCAAGTACTGCTTTTATTTTCCTTTCCTTCCCTGACTTAATTTTTGTGTTATCAAGAAAAATATAAGGTAAAGAAATCAAGTCTAATTAATAGGGTTATTCGATGTGCAGTTTCTATGTGATACACTACCATTTGGAGGGGTTGGCCAGAGTGGTTTTGGAAGGTACCATGGAAAGTACTCTTTTGACACTTTCAGTCATGAAAAAGCTGTATTGCATAGAAACCTATGCCTTGAAATTGAGCCAAGGTACCCTCCTTGGAGTAAGTTCAAGCAAGACTTCCTCAGATTGGCATACAGGCTGAACTACTTTGCACTAATACTTCACATTCTGGCCTTCAAACTGGGCTTGAAAAGAGACAACTAGATCAATGTCAATACTTCACCACTGTGCTCTTCTATTTCTCAAATACATGTTTGACTCAAAATGCATTAGGCTTTGTTGTGACTGAATATGAGTCATGGGAAATTAGGAACAAGGGTCCTATTTGCAAAAGAAGCACATGTAGTGAATATCAACTTGACATTGTAATAAGCAAGCATTTGTATCTCTTTATTTTTCTTGCCAATGATTGGATATTTCTACATATTATCTAACAATGTCAAACGTTTTGAATTTTAATTTTTCTCATTTCTCCTGCACGGCTGAATCATACATAAATAGATAAATTATAAATTTAGTCTATATACTTTACACATTGTTTTGATTTGATTCTTATAAAAAAAAAAGTTAGAAATTTAGCTCTTGTTATTTAACACACATGATCAGTATTAGACGGTGACAGAGGGACCAAAATGTAAAAAACAAAAATTTTATGAAGACTAAAATTTAAGTCTTTTTTAACTATAAAATTAATTTATTAATAAGTGTAACTATTAGAACTAAATATGTATTATAATTAATAGTAATTTTTACAAGAATACAAAACACCATACTTGGTTGAAATAAAAAAAAACTTGTATTACACTTCAATCTTATCTTCAAAACACATTTGATTTTAATTAACAACTAAAAAATACTTATTTTATAGGATTTTTTAAATCTTAATCCTTAAGATTGAGTTTAAGCATAAAAGTAGAAAGTTTTTATTAAGAAAGAATGCAGTTATTATATTAAAATTATAAAAGTATAGTAAATATTTTTCTTTCAATGAAATTCTACTATAATTAGTTGCTTAAACTTAGTTCTAAGGACTAAAATTAACATTTTTTATTTTATGTTTTTATTTTTTATCATATCTTCAAATGAATGAAAAAATATTAGTGTTATTATTTTTATTGAACATCAATATTTGAATTTTTTTTATTTATAAAAAAGAAAAGACTTGATATTTTTGTAATATGAAATTACACTAGATATTTGCTTGATGACATAAGTTTTGTCTCTTAAAATTTTGAAAATTTTTCGTTTAGTACTTATTTTTTCTTCTAAACAAGTCAAATTTTTTAATATGTTATTACAATACACATCTAGTTTTATTAGTCCCTATAGTTAAAACTTACATTTTAGTTTCTATATGAGTATTTTTTTTAAAAAACATTTTGGTCTGTTTCATCTAACATTATCAACATAATTTTAAATAGCAAATATTAATATAATGTAAAGACTAAATTGTAGTGTTTTTTTTTTGTGTGTGTGTGTAGGGACCAATTAGAAAAACATGTCAAGTATAAAGAATAAATTTATAATTTATAACCAATAAATTGCCTAAAGGAATAAAGAATTAATTCAACTAGCATGGAAAATTTTAATGTTTTTGCTGGGACAAGGATGCCAATGATTTGCAGCAGATAGTAAGATAAAATTGCAAAATCAAGGAGGCTAAGTGCTACCCTTATTCAGAATCAGAACAATGCTGTCTAACACCATCTGATTAATTTTAAAAAAAAAACACCTGTGATGTTGGTTTTCGTTGTGGTACTAGAGCAAGGACAAATTTGACAGATTTTGGACAAAACTGGTAGTTAACAATTGATTTTATTTATGTTCCACATAATTAAAAAAAAAATGTTCCAAGGGTACCTTCAAATTGACCCAACAAATACAGTCAATAATGTCAAATAATTGTGACAATTACCGTATCAAGATTTTCCATGGTCAAGATACAATAATTAACCATTATGTCCATAATTAATCAATAGGAATATCATGGTGGGCAAGAAAATGCACCAACATAAAATAACATGCATCATACTTAATAATCTATAACACACTATTTATCATACCCTAAAACTCGGATCATTAGAAACAAAAATAATAAATAAATCTATAACAATTAAACTAATCAATTGCATAAAACAAGTTCAACTCTCAATTTTTATGAGTCAAAATCCTTTGGTTTATGGGTCTACTAAGATATATGTAGTGGATTAGACATCAAGTCTCTTCAAAATTTTAATTTTTTTAAGATAAAAAAAATATAAAATTTGAGAGTTGAATAAGAAAATGACAGTATAAAAGTATAATAGACTTTTATTTTATTTTAGAATTATTGTATATCAAAATAATAAGAAAGCTTTAATGTGTTGTAACATCCTGCCCATTTCTAACTCAGACCCCCTATAAAATAAAATGTATGCTAGAGAGAAAAATAAGATAAACCTATAGGTATAAACTTATCATGCCATGTTTACTAAATAAACAACGAAAATACAAAATTACAAGAAAAAAAAAATTATGTATTCATATTTATCAAACAAGTGATTAAACTATCCACCCATTCTTGTCTTTTTTGGAGCTCTGAGCGAAATAAAAAATTAAGACTCCTTTCAAAAAAAAAATTTATAAAATGTAATAAAATAAATTAAAATAATACAATTTTTTTTAAGTGAATACAATTTTCTAATAAAATTATAAAAAATAAAATGTTCTTTTATTTAAACAATTCTTATGTTATAATCAACTACAAAAATACAAAAAATTATAAAAATAAGTTCTATAAGTATTTTGAAATACAAAATCATTAATAATAACTTTAATATAAATCTTTTCTAAAAATTTCTTCTCAATCGATAAAATTGTGAGACTATTCAACTATTCCTATGACATTGATCACCTTAGGTAGGTTTAGATCAACTTTAATTTTAAAAAACTTATTTCAGCTAATGTTACAGGAACTATAAAAAAAAAAAACTATAACCAATTAAAATATTTGGATAGCAATTTATAAATTTAACTAACTCAAGAACTATTTAATTTTTTGAAGAAAATTAAAATTTTCCATGAGTTTTAATGCTAAAAAAAGTAGAAGTTGAGAGTTAAATGAAATTTTGAATATGGAGAAGTCAAGGAATCAACTATGTTTATGACAAGTGAATTGTGAAGAATTGAAGAGTCTTTTTTGTTTTTCTATTTTTTTTTCAACTGCAAACTCTAAATAAGAACTAGAAATTTTTTTTCCACATAAAAGTATAACACGATTTTTATTTTGGACCCATTTCAAGCTTGAGCTCTGAGCAATCGGACTTCTAAACTACCTTCAAAGTCGAGCTTGCCACCCTTATGTATAAGCATGCATGTAGACCTTTGTCTTGTGCAAAAATATATTTTGTTATCTTTATACAAAACATTTTATGAAATTTACAACCAATATACATTTTATAAAATACTAAAGAAAAGAAAATATAGGATAACTATTCAACTAATATACAAAGCAAATAATACTAATAATATTAAACTAATATAGCATAATTTTTTTTATATAAAATATGGCTAAAATCACATTTATTTTTAAGAAAAAATTCATGGGAGTGCTCCCACAAACTCATGTATAACGTCTAAAATTCACTCTAAAGAAAGAGAGAGAAATAAATTTTGCAATGTGAAACCGCATACATGTTTTTCAGCATGAACAGTGAATACCCAAAACCTAGTGAATAATACCTTCAAAAAGTTATCCGCAATAATTCAAAACAATATCAAAACTAAAACCAATTACATAGGGAGCAAAAGTTTTAAAAAAATTATGGCCACTTGTTATAACTATTGAAAATTAAAACTAGATAAATAATAATAATAATAATAAATTTAATTTTTTATAGATATAATAAATTAAATTATAATTATAATATATATATATATATATATATATATATATATATATAAAAGCTACTCATGAGTTTTGATAGTCAAGCTTGTAAATTTTGAGTTTGGTTCGTTTAAATAATTAAACTTAAGTTTAAGTTTGTGTTTATTTATTTAATTAAATAAATGAGTCTAATTTATCATTTAACAAGTCAAGTTCAATAATAAGTTGATTTATACTTTTAAGACTTATAATTTGATATTAGGGATAAGAATGGTCAGGCCACTCATCGGAGGCCTATGGCCTAACCTATTTAAAACTTAACCCAGCTTAGTTTATTTATTAAAAAAGTTAGGTTTAGACTTTTAAAAAAGTTTATTTAAATAAAAAGGTCAGACTTAAGCTTTAAAAAAAGTTTTTCAGATCTATTGAGCCGGCTTAATTAAATAATTATATTATTTATTTACTTGTAACAATTTGATATAAATATTAGCCGTTAGATTTAAGTTAAATGAAAGACTCATATTGAATGTAAGAGTTTTTATACTTATACTAGTGTAAGAAGATCTTTCTCCTATATATATATATATATTATGTAATGTATAACATAGTTTAGTATTTATACTTTAATAATATAATAATTATAATTATACTATTAGAGTATTCAAGGTAAATACATAACTTGAAGTGATCATGTTGAAAATTTGATATCTTACTCAATGGCTTGGCAAGTGTTCGTTGGGTTATATGTTCTAGTTTCATTTTTTGTTTTCTTTTCGTAATAAACATTTTAATTGTTAGTTTTGTATTTGATATTACGTAATATTGACATATTCCTATGGTCATCTTGAGATATGATATTTGTGAAGCTATTTATGTTTTTTTTTTTTTTGTTAAACATAGTATTTAAATATAATTATTTATTATATGTTTTCTATTTTACTAATAATAGGTATTTCGGCTTGCTAACCCGTTAGTTACTAGCTCATTAGCTTCCTAGCTTTAAATTTAAATTGTTAGTGCTATTTGAAGGCTTTAGTATTAAATAGGCTATTAAATATGTTATTGAGTCAAGTCATACTTCTAAAAAGTCAAGCCAAACCTAAAAATTTGATCTATGTCAAGTCATAAACCTAAACTCAGACTCTAGTTTTATGTAATAGAACATACTCATTTAACATTCGATCTAACTCATTCTCATTTTTATTTAAGATAAATAAATAATTGATTCCTTAAAACTACTGTCATAAGCCTAATTTATTGCAATTTAGAGTCAATCAAAAGCTTATGATAGAATCATACAAAAACTCCTTAAAAATTAATTATATCTAAAATTATGTAATTTTTTTTTAAGACAGTACTCAACCAGCTAAATTATATATATATATATATATATATATATATATATATATATATATATATATATAAAGACTCATTAAGTTCAAGTATCAAATTTAGACGTTTATCTATTTTTCATGTAAGTTACATTACATCGTTTAATAACTTTTTATTGAATAATGTATTAACAAAATTAATTGTTAGATAAATTTTTTTAATCAAATAAATTACATTTACAAAATTTTAGATAAATTCATAATTATTTGATATTTTATT